ACAACAAGGTTCTATTTTTGTTAGAACCTCCATCTTCTATCTTGTCAATCACAACTTGAATTTATTTTAGTTTTAGTTCATTCTCTGACTGCAGATGTGTTTCAGTGAGAAACTATATCTGTGTGAACATTGCCACATTTGTGATGTGCCTTGTGGTCCTGGCATTATGAACATCGTTAGAATAATTATGTTTTCTTATTCTTACATAAGGAGTTACCAGTAGTCAAAGGTTACTATAAACTAACCTTTATAGTTTGTTCTTCCTATAAAGGTTAGTTTAGTTTTTTCTCGTCTCAGTGAGAAAAGAAATTTGCTAAAGTGTGTGACCTGTCTTTGACCTCCAGCATGTTTTTGCAGCTGGTCTTAGGACAACTTCTGAGATACTTCTCAGTTGTAAAACTGGGTTGCATCGTGTGCTTCCCCCAGTCCTTATCAGGAGAGCTCCCCTTTCTTTCCTTCAATAAATGACCAGTTCTGAAAACAAAGAACTGGTCTTTGTTTTAGGAGAGCTGCTGGAAGAAGTAGCTCTTCTGTGTCTTCTGCTTCTGCAGAAGAATTGATTAAAATTAATGTTGTCTGTGGTTCTCTTTTTATGTAGGTTGAGAAAATACCTATCAAACATCCTTTTGGTCTTACTTGAATGGTATGTTTTCTTGTCTTCCCCATTTTGAAGACTGTCTTAAAGAAATTATGTCATAACTCTACTTTAGGGATACATTAAATATTGGGTTACAACATAACGTCAAACATTTAGATAAACTAAAACATACATAAATTCTGGGATAAAAATATTTCAGTTGTATTTAGTTAATTGTACTCATTTGGATTGCCATCGGATGCATCTACTGATTTTGTTCAAATATTTTTTTTCCTTTGCTGAATAAGTGTTACCACATCGAAGGTTTAATTTTTCAATTGTTCATGAGAGATGAGGCAGTTTAAATGAAAATGTGTAATTTTCAAACTTTTTGCACATCTTTCTCTTGGGGCACCAAAATGTGGACAGCTTTGCAGCATACATTTGCTGATGCACATAACTCAGTCTTATGTGCATCATTATATAAAATGATTGTATATATTTTATGCATAGAATTTAGTCTACTCATAGATGTAGGTTAATTTATGTATTCACTCTGTGATAGGATTAAATTAATAATCTATAAACATGTAAGGACTGGGAGATCTTTGTGTGCTTCGGGATGCATGTTTCTTTTTTTTTCTGGAGAAGCAGGAAGCGTGCTGAAGGAGACTGCCTGGAACTGGAGTGACAGCTGGATTGATAAGAAACAATGGATGATTAAGGGTCGAAGTTTACAAACCAGAGACACAGGAACTGTACATAAAATAATGGATGCACAAGACACCTCATTGTTCTGTGGGTTCATCAGTTCCTGTATTGTTTCTACAGAAGGACGTAAACAAGAACTTTGAACTTTGCACTCTGCATTACTGCAGATCGTAAGTGCAACACGCCTGTGACTCAAGAGAACAGAAGAAACAGCGACACTATGTGATTAACTCAAGATAACCGAATAGGCCATTTATCTAGGACCGCCCCAAGAAAACAAAAAGAGGGTGAGGTGGAGCTTGCTTCAGAACGGATAGGAAATTGTAACTGAAGCAAGTTCCTGTCCTTTCTCCTTGCGCAAGTAAATCTAAAACTCATTTATCTCTCTCTTCTTTTCCTGTTTGAGAATGCTTAGGTAGATGAACCTGACACTCATCTACTCATCATCTAAAAGCAACCTGACATTGCTTTTAATTGTGATAAACTGATTTACTGTGGATACAATACTAAAACAGGACTGAGTGTAAAAGTAACAGTGTTGTGCTGCAAAAGTTCAACTTTGTCAGCCTGTGGGAAATAGGCTACATTAGGAACCCAAAAAAAAAGTCTGAGATTTACAAGTTGCGTATGTGCAACAATATTTTTGTACACACACACACACCCACACACACACACACACACACACACACACACACACACACACACACACACACACACACACACACACACACACATATATATATATATATATATATATATATATATACGTGAACTATATATATAGTTCACGTTTTGGTGAACTACAACTCACCAAAACGTATAACTGTCTTTACAAAATAAAAGACACAGAGAGGAATGTAATATAGTGGTTTTGACATGTGATATTTTATCAGTTATGCTCTTATTCTCAATGTTCAAGGAGTAGTGAGAGTTTGTAAGCCTTTGGGCTAAAAAGGAAATGGACCAGGGATTTTCTTTTAGTGATAAGGTTGACTGCACTGGGCTGTGATACTGCTCCACTAAGTAATTATTTGAAGCCTCCTCTTAGATTAGTGTCGACGTGCAGAGCTTATGGACAGTTGCATAGCAGACAATCAGACCATGTAATAACCACAGTTCCAATATTTGCTGAAATCCACTGTAACAGCTCACAAAACAAAAGTGTGGAAGGTCCTAATGCTCAGTCCAATCCCACGGCACAATGCCTTGATAAACACAGACGCCATCTTCACAATGGACAGCATCTTTACTCTGGCAATTAGGCAGAGCTTTGGATTATCACTTTTTCAGTCCAGCACACACCAAATCCATTCAGATTCAATTATTCCCCTACCATTTCTTTGGCCATTTGGGCCTTTTTGGCTCAGGCCCAGAAGAGAAATGCTTTAAAGGATCTGAACTACTAAGAAGTTAAAAAAAAAAAAAGAAAGAAAAAAAAAGGAAAAAAAAAATCTATATATATATAGTTTTGTCTACCTTTTCTCAGTATACATATGACAAGTGTATACTATGAATGTAAGCAGTGTCATGGTAGATATTTTGTGCAAACAGCAACCTAATAGTTGCATTTCTCTCCCTCAGGTTTTGTGTTCTGTTCGAAACAAGTCGAACTATATCTGGCTTTCAAGAAACCAATACTTTCTTTCTGCCCATGTGGAGTTAGTCTCCCCTTTGGCCCCTGCATAAACAACTAAAAAGCTTACAGAAAGTATTTGATTTAGTGTGTATTACTGTGTCTCAGTATATTTAAGCTTATTAGAAAGCTCACTCTCTCAATAACTGTATAAAAAATCTCAAGCTTGTGGGAGTCAGGAGCCTGTGATCTCTCAAAGCCTTTCTTTAGGGGTTTTGCTAAGGAGCTTTTATTTCTCAACCTTGTCTGTTTATGTAAGTTGATTTCTGGGCAATGTTCTGTTGCATTTGTGGGATATTTTTTTGCAGATTTAGTCTTTTGACAGTTTACAGCATATGTGCATGGGTTGGATTTGCATTTTCAATACACAAGAACACCATAGCAACATTGTAAACATCATGAACTTTATAAAAAAATATATTATTTCTTGTAAGAATGTTTATTTTATAACATTAAATAAAGATATCCTTTAATAATATGTCAAAAAAGTGTATAAAATGAATAAAGCAAATATGCTACTGTTAAAGTAGTATAGCATTTAATAATAATGATAATAATAACGATTATTATTATCATTTTTAATGTTTAAGCAAAAAGTAAGCCAATAATATGAAACAAATAAGAACTTGTTGCTGTTATGCTCTTTATTGAGTTGCACAGCATAAGTTGGTGCAAGCTGGTTAGCAAGTTAAGCTGTTTGTTCAGGTGGAGTCACCAGTTATCCTCAAATTAACGTGTTCTTTCAAGAGTGGTACATGGCACCCTTTTCCACAGCTCCATTGTCTTTGTGTTTTATGACTAGAAATGCTTCTCAACTGCTAAAATTCTCCCTTCTGTAATTGAGGGAAAATTGAAAGTCCACGCCTGCACAGCAGCACATAGGAGAATGGCAACACAGTGCCACTCTATGCTTCATACAGCTGAAGAAAACATTGTTGACTCAGTTGCTTTCTCTGGAAACTCATTAAAATTACTTCAAAGAATATGTCACAATTTATTTTTACAACTTTTCAATTTCAGTTGCCTTTGGATCTCTTATCATCATCTCCAACTGAATTTGAAAATTCTTATGGGAAGCTTTAGATGATGATTTTTCCACTAGGGAGAAAGGGATCAGGGGAACTGTTGCTTGGAGACATAACAGACCGGCACCCTGGGAGGATTGTAAAACATTCTGATGAGCACAGTCTGCTTGTAATTCACTATAGAGGCAAAAGAGCCATTGTGACTAAAGCTGTAATTTAAAACACAAAAAAAAATCTGAAAGCATTTAGGTAGATATTTCAGTTTCTGCTCGGAGGCACGAGGGCTTCAGCACTTGCTTTTCTCCAAGTGATACTTGTTAAAGTATCGCTAGAATACTTTAACAATACTTTCTCTGTGCATAATACTTTGTTTCACTTTTCACAACATTATCAGTTTTTTCAAGCATTATAGTAATGTAGCTATCAATGTGTTATCACTACAACACTCGTAGGACTGCGGTTATTTCCCTAATAAAAATACGGCACTTGCCCCTAAACTGCCACTTTAAGATAATGGTCCACATGTGGGTGATGAAACGGAAGTTCAAATACGGCAGCTGCAATCAAATGTTCCCTTCTTCATTTGGTTTAGACATAAACAACACCCTAGACCCCCTCAGTGATCAGACTCTTCACTATATGCTCTATCGGTGTATCCTCTTTAATTATTTCTAAGCTGTTTCTTTCCTTAAGTCCAAGATTTTAATGTGGTCAGAAATTGTTTCCAATGTAGAGTTTTTGGTGTGTCAGACGGAAATTTGGTCTCTTCACCTTATTACTTCAATGGAACTTGCACATCTATTGTAAATTGTAGCCAACGTACACACTACATTGTTTTCTATTTTTTTCTCTATTAATTAGCCGACCACCCATTTGACATTTTCCCATCAGATCTTTAAGACAGTAATCATTTATCTGTATGCGGGCATAGAGAATTGTTACATTTTGAAACCTTCATGTATCTTATGAACAGTAACTGGCTTGTGCATGCCTGTAACTACAGTAAAATATGCTGTAGTATAAACTGTTGTTGTTTCTGTTCTTTTTTGTCCAGGTACGACAGTATCACCACAAAAAGGTAAAGCAACACTCAGTCACTTATTAATTTCTACATATATACTGTGTGTTGTGTGGTTGTATGCTGAGTGTCGGTGTGCATTGTAAGTTTTTTGCTAATGAGATTAAATAAATGTCATGGTCTTGTTGATTACGCTGAAATTGTCAGTCTGGATTTCAGCTGAAGAACAGTCTGTTTGATTACAAAGTCAATCAATCACACCCACTGATACAGAGTCTAAATTATCGCGGAATGACAGGCAGCCCACAGTGTGTGTTTAGGCCTGCCTTTTGTACTACTTGTGTTAGCATTAATCACAGTTCTGTTTAGACTCCTCCACACTTTCATGTGTATTTTAATTTGAATTTGGAGGAGGGGACTGTTTTTGAATAGTGGATCATCAGAGACTCATGGGACAACTACAGGGGATAGATGTTTTTAGAAACATGTTGGTAGGCTGTTAGAATTTTGTAGGGTAATGGGGTTGTGCAGTCAAACTGTCTAAATCCCCTTTGAGGTATTGTTCTGACTAGCAGCCTGTAGGTACATGTATTAGGCCACCTAGCTTTTGTTCTTCCTGCAGAGGATGCACCAATGTCAAGGGGTGTGTCATACTAGGTAATTGCAAAGCAGACAATCAGCAATGAGCACTCCCCGCGGATTTTGTTAAAAACTTTTTCATCCCCTCCAGTGCTTATTAGAACTTGGATTTGTTTTGTAGCTGGTTTTACCATAGCAGAGCAGAATGCAGGTGTGAATATTTCTATTGACAAGTAAATCTGTTGTGATCCGGATGCAAATAAGAAGGAAACAAACACAAAAACTGACAATTTAACCTACCAAATCTGGTAAAACTGCTAATATATTTCAAAAAGATACATTTAAAGTGTATATCTGTGTGACAGTTTACACTTAGAATGCTCCCGTATGCACACATACACACTTTTGTGATCCTATGTCAGTAATGACCATGGGTTGTACAGTGCTGTCAGATGGGCCTATAAAGGTAAGTGATGCAGGCTGCCTGAGCCTCCTTCCCTATGATGAATGTTGACGGGGAGCAGAGGCTGAAATGGTGAACATCATCGCCTCACAGCTGCGCTCACACAGAGGCAAATAAGTAAGGCAGCATACCGCTGACAGTGAATGAATGCTCATTTTACTTTTTCTATACTGTATGTCCCCACTTGTATCTGACCTTTCAGCTTCGACAGTGTCTTGCAAAAGTATGCATATTTTAACGTTTCGAGAATTTTTCACATTGTAACTACAAACCTTTTTGTATTTTATGACTTAATGTAATGGGCACATAAGAAAATGATTTTTTTTTCAAATATTTTTTTCAGAAATAAAAATCTGAAAAAACCAAACTCACTACAATTCTTTGAGTTTCTGCTTATAGACTCTTTGCCCATGTGGAAACTGAAATTTTAACCATTCCATGTAAAATACTTCAGCGTCTGTCAGACAGGATCGAAATATTTTGGGGATTTTAATATTCAAGTTTTTCCAGTGACCCTCATTTGAGATTGAACCCACACTTTGACTGGGCCATTGTAGCACACATATGTTGTGATCTCAACTATTTCCATATAAATCTGGATTTATTTTTAGAGCAATTGCTAACACATTTTCTTCTCAGAGTCCAATGATTTGTATATTTTCCCAAAAGTTAAGTTTTCTTAGTTTTTGACCATCTTCAAAATACTTGATACGGTTTATGGCAAATTCTTGGCAAATTCTTCAAAGGCACATTGTTTTGACTGCTTGTCCTAGTAATGATCTTCTTGAAACACCTATCTGTTTAGGTGAGGCCTTTACAGAATAGGTGCAGTTATTAAAATACAAGATAAAGTTCAGGTGGGTGTTCTTTACATCTGAAGACAATTATTTGTAATGTATTTAATTTAAATGATTTGAGTTAAATGTAATAATAAATGGCTGATGCTACTTTGTTTTGGACTATCGTATAAAATATTTATTAAATACCTTGAGACTTGTGGTAGTAATCTGCCAAAACCAAAAATAGTTCATTCATTGGTGTATATAATTTTGCAATGCATTGTATGTTTCTGCCCTGCTTGGCCATCCTGTACATAAAGTCTGGTTTATTTGCAAATATATGAAACATTTTATGTCTCTCACTCAAAATAATCAGGAGTGCAATGAAGAAAAATTGCCTGTTCTATTCATTTATACATTATGAGTGATAGAAGCCTAAGTTGCTTTGACAGTGTAATCGCTACTGAAGAGTCATGGGGCCTTGAGGCAAAGATAATGTACATAAACCACATTTGTGCATGCAGTCTTGTAAGACTGGCAAGTAAGTGTGTGTTTATATGTTTTTGTCTTTCGCTCTGGATGAAAGATGAAGACAGCAGGACATTTGTATTCACTTGCAATGTCAACAACCCACAGTCTCAATCTGTTTCTATTCAGCATGAGATGTGAGAAGCATGAGATGTGAGAAGTGCACACTGTGAATATGTTTTAAATGAAGAGCAGAATGCAATAGCTTGGACTGGGTAGCTTAGCTTGGATAACCTTTTGAGTTGTTACCGTATGAAGATTAAAACAGGACCTCTTGATGATATGACCTTATTCGTTAACTCTCTCCTTCTGTTGAACACCCTTTCTGTCTGCCCTCCTTCCCTCAAAATTCTTTATCCAACACCTCTCCACTTTTCTTGCACTCCTCCTCCCACTCTCCTGCCAAATGAAGTATATTTATGGCACCTGTGCTGGAAAAACAGTCTCCAGGAGACGTCCCTCTAATTTCATTTTCAAAATGCCAGCAATAAATTTATCAAATGGGCTGAATCGAATCGGAGTCACACGCAGTGCCATCCGTCATGGGCTGTCCCTCAGGGGCCTGTGGGCGTACTTAAGCCAGCCAAAAATCTCTGCTGGCAGGAGAAAAAAAAAACTGAGTGTTGAGAAGGTGAAGGGGGTGTGGAGTGGGTGTGTGAGAGCTGGGTGGTGGGGGTCTTGGAGGAGAAACCAGATGAATGGACTGGGGTGATGAAAACAAGGGCTTGTATGCATATCTTTATTGGCTTATATCCACATATGCAGAAGTATAAATTAGCCGTCAAACGAGTGAGGATGGGCATGTGTGCACAGAGGTCAGTACAAACTCTTGAATACTTGAATGGATCTCAGCTAAGCACTCTGGCTGTCGTGGTGCCGGCGTAACAATTGATTAATTACAGCACAAATTAATCGATTGTGTTGCCCAATTTTGCTTTATTGAAACATTTCCACTTTAAACACCAGTGTGTTCTTTAATCCCCCCGTTGTTTTCCAGAACCACTTGCTCTTTGCTCTTAAAATCCCTTCCCATTTCTCCCTGGCTCTTCCTCACGATCTTTGCTTTCTCATTTAATGCTTGCATCCCAGATTTCTTTTGTTTCACATCTCCTTCTCTTTGTCTTTCATTTGTCTTCCACTCCCCTTCCATTTATCACACTGCAGGTTAAACCAGGCGTGAGCACGGGTAAAGTAGCTTAGCACTAACAGTTCTAATGAAGTCAGGCCCTGTTTTCCTTGAATGGGGATCAGTGGAGCTATTCCGTGAAGCCTGTCAGCATTTAATGATTAGATGAAACATTCAGACGCCTGCTAGGAGAAATTCAGGCGCACTGATAAATGGTAATTCCCAAGTGGAGGTCTTTCTTACACAGATCTGCAAAACATTTATGCATGTTCACACTTTCTCCTCTGACACATACACATGAGCATGCACACATGCATTTTCTGTCCTCCCACTTTGGACAGGTCCAGATTTATGAGTTAAACATGGCATGGAGGGCTTATTCAGCAGAGTGATTGGAAGAAAAAACAAATGGCAAAGTGATTCAGAGATTGAGCAGTCTGAGCCATTGATTCCTGGTTTGTGCAGAAAACCTGCTGAAAAACGCATGCAACACAAAACAGACTTGTCCTTCACCTTGATGAGTAGATCGTAAACAAGTCTGTTCAGGAAGTGTTCTGTGATGCTTGATTTTCCAGATCAAAATGGGTCAAAAAGACTGTAACTTCAAACCTTTTTGAACATCCCTGGCTTATTGTGAATTCTCCTAGAGTCAGTTATACTGTGTGCTCACATTTTGCAGCTAAGTCTGTGTTTGTTGTTGCGAGTATGTCAGAAAGTGCAACAGCACCAGGGCATTTGTTGGTATGTTAAACTGCTAAAATGAAGTAAATTGACAGAGGCAGTGGTTGGGTCAATGATCTGCCTGTTTGTCAGAGTGAAGGGGTGCCTTCCAGAGACTGGCCACGTTTTGCCCCATTAGCCACATGCTAAGTTACCTATCAACCTACTGCTACAGAAGGAAACTGCACACTTTCAAGCGTATGATTGTAATTTATGAGCTTTTCCTGATTACATGTCTTTGCCGAATTTGAAGCACATTCTGTCCTTGTACGATTAATTAAAATTCTCCACCACTATCTTTTCATCCCCGGCTGAAAAATCTTAGGACTCTAGATTTAAGATAAATGCGTGACTTTCAGCTAATTTGAAGCTGTCACTTCACTGGATCTAATGGTTCACAAAGCTTTTTAAACATACTTGTGGAAGCTACTTTAAAATGCCGTTTTATGAGTGGAGTTGTCTGGCCAAGAAGTTGGAATAAAATAACATTTAGAAATGCCCAGTGAGCTCAGGTTAGCCTCTGGTAGCTTTTAAATGCCTCTCACTATCTGTACAAGAGTGATTGCTGTCTCCTCTATGTGTATCATTCTCAGACTTATTAGCCTCAGATTCTGCTGATCAAAGCATTTCTCAGCTGAAATGTAGACTGGAGTATTATCTGATGGATCTGTTCTATGTGCACCACTGGCCTCTTTCTACTCCCAGTTTTAACTAACTAAAACCAAGTCAGGTTACACATTTTAACATCTTAATACTAAAGTTATTCCCAAATATATATATTTTTTTCATCATATTATATTATTAACGTGATGATTTTTAAAAATACCTTGCATAAAATAATCCTGATGAAGGTGCAGCTCGAGTG